CAGTCTGTGAGTCAGAACAGCCGGCATTGTAGTCTACTCTCCCAGGATCAGGAAACAGTCTCCATAAAATGCGCTGCACACATCTGAATATTTGGGTTGAACTGTTCTGGAACAGTGTTGTAAATACAACTTACAGTATACAAACAATACAGCGAGAATAAAAGTTATGCCTTCTTTCTTTGCGTGAACATTTGGGCGGCGTTATGCAAATCTTCCCACATAGTGACGTAGACATGTGGGGGCGTGTTAGAACGAGCCATTTTAGGTAGGCGTGGTTGACTCTTAACTTTTATAAAGAATTTCTCTTTGGATTTGAGACTTTAGTCTTTGCAACTTTACAGATCTTCTTTATGCACCAAGAGCTTGTAACACTCCAAAGAGAAAGGAAAAATTGAAATCGCATCATATGACCCCTTTAATATATTTATTACCAGACAATTTATAATATACCTCTACATGACAAGTGGGTCTTTAACTTAACTTCATTTTAAATAAATAGCTTTTATGTATTCTATGTTTCTTTGTACCGGCCAATCAGGATTCGGAACGAAAATGCGCAGGGTTTGTTATAGTAACAAATACAACACAATTCTGATTGACAGATAAACCGATTGACAGATATTTCAGTGTTTTTGATGTTGTTGTGGTTATTTTAGCAAATAGTTTGCTTCGTACATTCAACAGCAATAAGTTAAAGAGAGTAAACTTTATCACTCAACTGAAGCTATGCATTTTAGACCCTTCATATTGACTGTTCTGCTCCAAGTTTGTCACTTCTATAGTTTTGGCGCCAAACTAGTGGCAGTTCTGAGTTCAGTGTAGATCACATTTCTCATGCAGTGAGTTTCTCCTCAGGCTTTGGAGGCCATCCTATGTTTTGTATTTGTAAAAGCATCATCTGTAAGTTAATTCTTCATTACATAATGTAGCCTTTCTTTGAAAAGGTGCTAAATGTGTTGATTTCATTCTACTTTGATAAGATAACTTCTCTATACCAGTCAATATTTGTATTTGTTGCCATTTTTGGTTATCTGATAATCTCATTTAAGTAAATTGATTACATTTGATGCCTTTTCAGATATAAGTTTCAGAATTACTTGTATGCATATTCTTTAGTTGTTGGATAACTATTCGGATTATTGTTTATTTGCTGTAGGCCTATTTGTACAGTTTTACTCCTAATCCACATCTCACTGGCATCTTATTAAATGATTCCCGTAAACCTCAATGGGTGTAATTCCCAGAAGAAGTGACAACGAATTCGGTAGGAATTTGGTGAGTGCGGTGTGAGTCATAAAATCTTCTGGCGAGCCTCCGCTCATTATTTTCACTGATCTTCGGTCGAGTCGAAAGAAGAACGGAGTAAAATACCAAAAGGTTTTATTTTATGACAGAGAGAATAGTCCAGTGACTTTCTGGAAGGATAGCAAAAGGAAAAGGTGAGTAAATTGACTCTTAACATGTTCGTCTGTAATAAAATAGCTATTACATGCTTTGTTGTTTTATTACATTTAAATAGCTAATATATGGCCTATGGGGTTTTTGTAGTCTCCTAATATTTTTATGAAACCCCCGGGGATTGGGACGATACACAGTAATCCACATGTTGTTTTCTGTTTCTGTTGGGCTATATGCTTTCTTTTCTGTTCTTGTCCACTCATTGCCTTACACCGTGCCTTGGATTATTTTCATTCCCTACTGAAATATTCCGTGCACAGAACTAATTATTAATTTAAATTATTTCTCGATGGAATAATTTATACGACACACATATTTTGTAACTATTGGTAGGGCCTATTTATTATAGGCTATACAAAAAAAGGGGGTAAAAGGGATATAATGCGGTAGTTAAAAAAAAAAAAAAAAAG